GCCTGGTGTCCCCCAGGCCAGGGTGTACCCTACCGCCATGAGAACCTTCCGGCTCTACCTTTCCTACACACCAGCTCATGGCTGTGGTTAAATCTGGGCTAAGCGCTCCAGTGATTGTGTAAATGCTGGCCAGAGCAGGGCCATGTGGAAAACCATGATTATTTTTGCCTCTTGCACAGCTTTTTGTTTTCCCTGGAGCTGCTGATTGCCCAGGCTTTTCTGCCTGCTTAGTTTTGTACATGCTCACAATTTAACTCAAGCACCATTGTATCTACACTGGCATTTCCTTTTTCTGTATGAGGCAAATGACTATGTGGTATCAGAGGCTGCAGCCCAGAGACCAGAGGACCCACACCCATGCCAACCCACACCAGCACAACTTACAGCTCTGGCTCACATCTCTCTTCAAGCACACCTCAGAATACTGACAGGTTCCATTTGTGCTACCTGCCCTCAAAGCTCATAGCCTGTGCTTTTCCTGTCTCCTGGGTTCTATATTTCCTTTTGTTTATGCTCTCATTTTACTGGAACACATCCTTGATTAGCTTCCTGAGAAAGTACATGTGGGAGGTAAATATTTGTCCATATAGAAATGCATCCTTCCTTGGGGTTTTCCTGGGTGGGTTCCAGGGGTGCACAGCTTGCTGCCTGGCATGTCAGTTTCTGTCCTGCTCGTGCCCTCCCAGTGCCCTGCTGAGAAGCACTCTGCAGATCTGATTCCCAATTCTTTGGCAGGATTCCTCTTGAAAAGTTTACAGGGTCTTCTCTCAGTCCCCTGTGCCCTGGAAGGCTGTGACGAAGTGTTTAGGAGGGCCTGCTTGCATTCTGAGCATCTTCTGCAGCATGGTGCCAGCTCCCTGGCTCTGGGGAACATCCCCAAAGATTCTGTATACTTCCCCCTGCATGCCCTGTCTCAGCTCTGGACCTCCTAGACCAGTTCTCTTGTATTTTTTACCTTTTTATCCTTTTTCTGGACCTATTTCTTCTACTTTCAGATAAACTTTCTCAGCTTTATCTCATAAGATGATCATTTAGCTCTAGGTATTGTTAGCTCCCAAAGTCCACTTTCTCCTCTTTGGATTTTCTCTGGGTGCCATGCTCTAGCACTATTGAAAGTCTGTTCTTACCTATCTTGGCATCACCAGGACAGTTTTCTGGAGGCTTCCTCTGTGCTGGCCCTGTTTCCTATGGACTCACTTTCCTATTTATTCTGCTCTGTATTTTTCATGTTGGGGTCTTTCTTCGGTTGGACATCAAGAATCCTTATCTCTGCATCACCAGTCACTAGGGGAACCCTGAGCAGGCAGCAAGTTCTGCCACCTCTGGCTGTACCACATGCCTCCACTGAGTTGGCAACAACCCTTCTGGGCCCGTTGGCTTTTCTAGTGACGCTGGCTGAAAGGCCATCTTGGAATCACCTCAGCACCTGCCTCAACCCTGTAGTCTGCTCATCCCGCCATGACTGGGCCCATCCAGGGCTCTCTTCCTGCCATCTCCACAGCCGTGGTGCAGGTGAGTCTATAGGGCTCATGACCAGATTGTGGGGCTCACCTGGGGCTTCTGACTCCAGGGCCTGAGAATCTGCATCTCTCTCAGAATTTATTTTTATTGGTACATCTTTGCAGCACATAATTATTACATTCATGATAGGATCTGTCACATGTACATAACATGTCTTAGTCCTTCTTTCATCCCCTTTTCCTCTATCCTCCATCTTCTCATCTCTTGGTCCCCTTTCTATCTGCAAGATATCCATCTCCCTGTTTCCTATTATCTGTCCCTCTGTCTGTTCAAGATTCACTATGCTTTCTCCAGCCTCCTCAGCTTAGGAAGTGCCCCCCACCAGTATCTCTGGCTGTTGTCCTGTGCCCCCTGGGAGTTTTGTGGCCTCAGCAGTCTGGATCCTGTCCCATGCACTGGCTTGGAATCAGCTTTCCTGAATCTGGTTGGTCACCAACCCCTCAGTCATCCACTTTTCAATGAAAGCTTGTAGCCACATTCTTTCTCTTTCTATGTGTAAGCCTTAAGGAAAATGAAATAAAAATCAACCCAGGGGCCTGGGATTAGGAGGTGCAGTTGGCCATCAGCACAGAAATGCCCACACTGCCCAGTGCCTGCTTCTCATCCTCCAGCTGCCCACATCTGGCCTGGGCCTCTATTTACTTTCGTTTTCTAAATTCCAGGCAACCTTGGAGCTGACTTGTTCCCTAAGAGAAGCTTGGGGATTTCTCAGGATCCCCCAGGCATGAGGTAGAGCCCTACCTTCCGAGGCCATCTGCTACAGCCTTGAATATGTGTTATGGCCAGACTCCTGGCACTGGGCTCTCATGGCCAACATGGGGCAGGCTGACAGGAGTAGCACGGCAGGTTTTACTAGGTAAGTGAACAAAGCAGTCCCTGGGCAGAGGCTCAAGATCAATCTGTGACATCCATGATGGTGAGGGTGTCTCCCAAGAGCACTTTCACAAAGACCCACCAAAAACACTCCAGTGACACACAGTACAAACTCAGAGAAGTCATCCTATAGGGAGGCACAGACTGCCCTGTGCAGCTGCAGCCCAGACCACGAGCCCTTGTGGTGGTGGAAGCCAGAAAGACAACTAGAAATGCCACCCTCTGCTGGGCAGTCCTAAGACAGGGCCTTTTTTTGCTCTTGGTTTTTGTCCCTCATCTGTGCTGCACGGATGCGGAATGCTTGGCAAAAGTCACAAAGTCTATCAGCCAGGGCGGGGTCCTGTGTGCCGCTGTGGGTAAATTGACCAGGTGGGTGTGTTGGCTCCAGCAGTGTCCCTCAGCCTCAGCCTGGCTGCTGTTTTGGGTAGAGGGTGCCAATTTGAAATGCAAGTCTGGAGAGGAAGGGGGCAGAAGCAGAAAGGCCTTTCAAACAGTGAGGTGCTCAAAGACGTAGCTGCAGCCCAGTCCCAAGCCCAGCCAATCTTCATACCATGTTGCTTATTGCCTCTGCTGCACCAGGAGAGAGGCAGTAGGGTTTCTGCCCCAGGCATGGCTCTGGCACATTTCTTAACGAGCCTGGATGCTCTGGGCCACAGAGAATGGGGTGTGTGGTGAATTAACTAATGGTCAATTTATAACACCTAGCTGAACTGAATCAGCATGGTGCTGGGCATGGAAGGCCCACTGAGGACTGTTGCCAGCAGCATAGAAGGAGAACTGGAGAGGATGGTGCATTGTTGATTCTCCTGGAGAAGCTTGTCATGCTGCTTTTCCTGACAGTAACTCAGCTGTTTTCATCTTTGAAAGAGTTCAGGACTGGCTATCACTGAGGATGGCTGTAGCAGTTCTCTTTGGGGGAGCTCTGCTCCTTACCTGGAGCATCACTTCCCGGCTCCGCTGGTGTAGACATTCTAGTTTCCACCACTGACCTTTGGGCCTTCCCAGTGCAGATGTTTGATACACACTTGCATGAGACATTGTGGGGGGCTCTAGACCTCCACCTGGACTTGTATAGGACACTGCTGTGGGATCCAGGCCCTCATCTGGATTCTTTGGGTCTCTAGTGCATAGACAAATCTCTTGTGCTCTTCTGTGTTTGACTTTTTGGATGAATATTGTAAGTAATCCTATAAATTATGTGCTCATTAAATCTGTTCCCTTGCAAACACTGACTACAATAGGATGGCATTTGGTAAGGCCAATGTAGGCACCTCCGTGAAAACCTGAGCTGCAGAGGCGAGGACAGGCCTGTGAGCTCACAGGCCACACATGAGGTCCTGAGGTGAGTGACCATGCAGCCAGATTCAGTCCTCCAGGATGCTGAAGGTGCGGATTCCTGCCTGCTGACGGCTGGACCTCATGGCAGTGTATGAGTCCTAGTCTCAGGAAAGACACTGGCAAACTGAGGACAGCCACAGAGACCCAAAAGCAAGAACAAAGACAATGAAAATACAAGTGATGTGCAGTTACTGAGCACCTGCTACACATCAGGCTCTCCGTAACGGCTTCTAGGCTTCACTGCCAGCAGGGCTATGACTACCTAAGTGACAGCTGATGTGACGGAGATGTAGATGGTCACTCCAACCCTGGCCTGGCTTCCTCCAGGGCCCATGACTCAGCATCTGCACACCTGTGTCAGTCCCAGGTCACCATCTCAGCACCCTACACAAGGTGGGAGCAAACAGGAAGGGACGAGAAAGGCTGACTCGGAGAATGAAAGCCATCTGCCGGACACCACTCTACACTACATTCTTCAGGAAGGACCAAGGATGACAGCTATGCCTTCCTAGCTTGAGAATGCTCTTGGGGATCCTGAGAGCTTCACAGAATGAGTTGACAAATACATGAGAAACAAATAGAAAAAGGCTTCACAGGATGAAAGGCAACTCAGGAAAAAAAAAGAAAGAAAAGAAACACGAGGTGCATATCAAGCAGCCAGAAGGGCATGGGGGTGGTGCACACTGTACCTTCAGCACTCTGGGAGGCTGAGGCAGGAGGACTGCAAGTTCTCGGCCTCAGGTTGTAGGGTGGACACACCCAGAGCAAAGACACAGTACGTACAGACTCCAGCTGTCACTTCACTGTGTCAGAGGTGACAAACACAGGTCCTGAGGTTATTACCTTGATTTTACAGACTGAAGCAGGCAGTGCAGGCAGTGACTCCGTGGCTGGCCTCAAAGGGCTCTGTGGCAGGGCCCCGGGCTCTGTGAAGGGTACTTAGCACAGTGAAAGATAGCCCTGCTTTCATGGAGGATTGGATTTGCTCATGATTAATGGGCACACAGCAACTGATAAATGGTATTAATTTGTTTGAGGGGTCTGAGAAGATCGTGGTTGCATGCTTCTCCACAGCTGCCTGAGTTATTTCCTGCTGCCCACAGACATGGACGATGGACCCTGTTTGCACGGCCCCTGATGATGCAGAGTGGGTCTGTAGCACATGGGGCTGGTGTGCCCTGATCAGCCATCCATCTGGCCCTGCTGCTCAGGTGTGACAGCAGCCTGGGGGACCTACTTGTGGAATGAGGACCAGGCAAGGGGCCTACCTGCCACCTCTTTGGATGAGGCCAGGCCAGTGGTGGCCTCCAGGTCAGCGGGCACAGGGCCTCCTCTCTCCAGGGCATGCACGAGCCCCCGCAGCCGCTCACACTCCTCCTGCAGTCGGTCTCGCTCCTCACGTAGGCGCTGCTTGGCCAGGCTGGTGGGGTTGAGGCTCATGTGCAGCACTTTGGTTTTGCTCTGGTCATAGTCACCCTGTAGGACCAAGCACAGCACAGGGTCACCTCAAGGGGCTTTGGGAAGGAAGACAGAAGGGACAGAATGCTCATAAACCCAGCATGACACCGGAGAGCTGCTCAGTCTGGCTGTTGCCTGCTGAGCATCACGAGCTGGGTGCTAGAGAACTGTGCAGCTGGAGGTCTCAGTGCCTGCGAGCTACAGTGTGAGCCAGGTGAGGCCCTGCGCTGGGGTTGCTTCCCTACTGCCCACCACAAGGCCAGGCTGCCTGCCACGGGCCCTGAAAAGTCACTGGGCTAATGAGAAGATAGCAAGTGCCACATACTCCTTGGGACATCACAATCCTCAGTACACAGGAATTCCCTCTCATCTCCTGGGGATTGAACCCAGGACTTTTACACTGAGCTATACCCCCAACCCCTATTTAAAACAGGGTCTTCTTAAGTTGCTAAGTGGCCCAGATGGGGCTCAAACTTGGGATCCTCCTGCCTCAGCCTCCCAGAGTGCAGAGGTTAGAGGTGTGCTCCACTGGACTCAGCTTTAAATATTAATTTTTTCTTTTTGAGACAGTTTTTCTATGCAGTTCTGGCTGACCTTAAAGTCACAGTGATCTTCCTGCCTCAGCCTCCTGAATGCTGGAATTATAGTTATGCGCCACCATGCTTGGCTTAAATCAATTTTAAGAACACACCATGATGTAAATATTTGAATGACTGAGCTCTTACTACTTCACAGTGTAGCCCTGGAAGGTACCGCACCAATCTTCTCTCCATCAGGTACGTAAGAGGAGGGTCCTAACTAAACAGCAAACAAGCCTTTGTTTTCTGATCACCTTTAGACTTATGGAGAAACTGGGAAGGCAGTGAAGACAGTCCCCACAGACCTTGCACCGGTGTTCACCGCTATGTCTCTCAGGAGTGAGGTCAGCCTGTCACAGTCCAGACCCAGCCAGAGGGAAGAAACCAAGAAAGATGAACTAAGAAAGATCCCCAAGTATCACACCACGTCAGAGACTGTAGTTAAAGAGATGGGCATTACTAGCACAAGAGACCGCTAGATACCCCTGTGCCCTGTAGCTCCCACCACACCCAAATGCTAATTCCAGAGGGATCCCAAGATAAAAGTTTAACCAAAAACAGAAACACATCTTCTTGCCCATGGAGTAGAGACTTAAAGAACATTCAAGTGCTATCACCCAGGAAAGGAGGAAGGAGCCCAGACTCACGACTATCCAGAGCTGCTCTTCCACTGGAGCAGAGGGCCCCTGGCAGAGTGGAGAGGAGACCTGACCCACGCATGGCAAAGGATCCACATCAGAACTCACACAGCATGAGAAAACAAGCAAGAACATTTCAGAAAATTCTGCTTAAAAATGGGCCACAAACATGAACAGACACTTTACAGAAGGGACTCAAAGCTGGTGTACATATGGAAGGCACCCGTGCATGAGGGGAACAAGGCTGAACCAGCAGTGTGCACACGGCATGCAGGACGGGTTGATGGACGCTCAATATGCAGTAGGCTCACTGAAGGCCTTGTGCACACTGTGCCTTCCTGTCTGAGCCCTGCCCCTTCACTGACCCAGGATGGACTTCTACGCAAGGTCTGAAGACTTGCAAGGTCATAGAAAGGAGCCACACTGCCCTGAGCCTCAGGGCTCCTCCAGAAGGGTGGGCCACTGCATGGCAAGAGAGGAGGAAGGCCTCAGCCTCCTCTGGGCCCCAGCTGCCAAGGCTGAGGGGTCCCTGGAGCCCACCCCAAGGAGGCCCTGGTGGGGGACAACACTGACAGTGCATGTGAGCCCCAGGGTACATTAGCCACTGGTCTCTATGAGGCACCTACACTGAGCCACAAAGTGAACATCCCACAGATGAAGACTTCCCCGTGCCCACCTCTGGGGAAATGGCATCTGTCACTCAGACTACCAGGCGGTCCTGGGAGAGGCTGGGTGGAGACAGTCTGCTAAGCATGGGGGCCTCTGGCCTCTAGCCTCACAGCAGTTTAAGCTGCTATGGACCACCATCCTTCTGCCAAAGGACTGGTCTAGAATGGGCCCACCTTGTGCCCCCCACTAGGTCCACAGCCTACCGTCCCTGACCAGCTACCCAGACTCCTCAGGGTGTGTCTCCAAAGAAATGCGGGACCAGAAGTGAGCAAAGTAAGGTTCTGCCCCAGTGTGCCACCCTCTGGAATAGAAACATGCTAACCGCTGGTCCTCAAGCCCCTTGCCTAAGAGTCAGTGGGGACAGGACACTGACATGGGCCAAAGACCCTGTGGGACCAAAATGATGGCACAGGGCACTGCTGGCAGCAGCTGGGTTTGCACACACACCCCAGGTGCTATCCTGTGTTATTCCTTAGGCTGAGAAGGGAGAGACCAGGCAGGAGGGAAGGGGAGGCACAGCAGGCTGAGCAGGACAGGATTCCCGGGCTCCTCCACAGGCTTTATGAGAACCTTGTAAAAATCCCAAAGGATGACGATGCTGGAACCCAGCTGAATCACAGACCATCAGAGTTGAAAGGGATTGTTATACCACCCAATTTTAACAGTCTGGGGAAGATAACCAAGCTGGCCTACGTGGCCCTGGGAGAGCCCCATCTCTGAGGCCTTGCAGGTGGACACATACCAGTCTCCTTCCCCTCACAAAGCTAGGAATGTGGAGTCAGACGGCTGGCCTGCGCTTCCTGGGGTGCCCGGTCCACCAAGTGCCCAGCTCTGTGGCTATCACAAGCAAGCAGCCACAATAGACACGACAGTAACCATGTGCCAATGAAGCCACCTTCATGAGCACAAATCACCATTCCCCACGATTATCCTGTATGTGCAGTACTCTCTCCTTTTGCTTTCTGCATGCTTAACTGCTTCTATACATTAAATGGACTTTACCTGACTCGGAAGTAGTAGAGCGCTCTAGAGGGCATATGGGGGAGCTGGGCACTGAAAGGCAGGGACATGAGCTCTGTCCAAGTCACCCAGGAAGTGGCTAGGGAGCCGGCACATGGGGGTCAGAGCAGGTAATACAATGGGGAGCCTTAAGCACTGGGCCTGGTGGTCTCCAGATATATCCACCATCTGGGACCTTCTGCAGTACCCATCCAGGAATGAAAACCCTGGTCCATGCAGACAGGGAGCAGCTAAGGGGGAGTGTGAGGCTGTGGGGGCTGGTGGCAGCTTCCAGAGTGTGGTGACCCTTGGATTTGAGAAGAACAGGCAGTCACGGGAGAGATGGTGTCTCTCCTGATGTGCAGTGGGACAGACACCCTAACGGAGAGGCTCAGCAAGACTGTCGCTCCACTCGACACACAGGAAACTGGCATCGGGCACTGAGGTCCGAGGCAACGGGCCAGCCAGGACACAGCGAGGCAGTGAAGCTGGATGCAGTGTCCGTGTCCCACCACCTGCTCCCTGTGCCACTGCCCCTTCTGGAGCAGGTAGGTCCCCACTGCTGTCGGAGAACAGAGTGGCGCCTGCCATGGGAGTGTGGGAAAGGAAGGGACTGCCCGTCCGAGACCCTCCTGTATCCAGGAGCTCTGAGGGGACAGGCCCTTTTTCTGCCCCATTGCCAAGAAGTGGCAGGATGTTTGGAGCCCAGCGGAAACAAGTGCCTGACACAGGTCTACAGCAAAGACAGGAGAACGATGGTGACAGCACCTCACTCCCGCTGCTCTCGCCCCGCACCTTTCAGCACCTCAGTGTGGACGTTTTATCGGCTGGCTCCCTGAGAAGGTCAGTTCTGTGGGGATAAGGGCTGTGTTTTGTCCACGGTGGCGGTGCCAGGGCTGAGAAGAGGGCCTGATGTGGTGCTGAATATGCATTTGTTGAACGAGTGGGTGATAATTACAACATTTCCTGAGCCAGGATGTGTCCCTGCAGACTTACAAGTCAGATCATTTGCCAGTCACGATAGCGTGTGAGGGGAGAGCCAGCAGGTCCCAGGAAGGACCTGGCCTCTCTCCAATGGGCCCTCAACAGCTAGCCCTGCCTGGATCCTGTTTTGCTCAAGCTTGGTGATGCTCAAATGGGCAGGGTGCTCCATGGCTACTTTGCTAGCCCTGCAGGCAGGACTGGTGGCCCCATTCCAGAGCCCGGTCCCCATCAGTCACCGGGAGTCACACAGAAGAGGAAGGAAACAGCCACTGTCCAACCTCCTAAGGAGCTACAGCAGGCCTGGCGCTTCCTGCCCAGCATGGAACAGCCACCCTAAAGGCATAGGGCTTGGGACCCAGACAAAGGATTTTAGAGCTTGGTCTGGGAGGCACAGCCAGGCAGCACAGACAAAGGCCACAAGGGCATGAGGCAAACAGTGAAGATGTCACCAGTGGCCACGGCCAGCCCAACTTCAAGGTTGTCCTACAGAGGGATCCAAATGTCACCTCAACTGGACATACTATAGCCCCTGCTCCAAGGAAGGCTGGGGGTAGAGCAGGTGCACGTAGGTGGCCTCTGCAGTCCAGGGTGCTAGGTCACTTCTAAATATGTCTGTCCATCTATCCAACCAGTATGTATTGTCCAGGACTTCCACCTCCCCTTATAAAATCCCAAGTGGGCTTCCAGTCAGCCAGTGACGGTCACGGTAGAGAGAAGACCCCAGTATGCCAGCAACCCCACCACCTCCCCAGCACGCACCCACCCTGCATGGGCACAGAGGGTGTCACGCCAGTGAGAAGGCATGCTGTCCAGGGGGCTGGTGCTGCACGGGACGAGCAGATGGGGAGAGTGAACAACTTTGCTGAAATCTGCTGCTAGATGACAGCTTTGAGGAAGAAAGGGAAAAATGGCTGTAATCTTCTGCTAAAATTTGTCGCCTTGTTTGATTCACAGCTGAGAAAACTGTTGAGACGCTGACAAGCATCTCAAAAGGAAAAGTTGGGGACCTTCTTTTGACGCCATGGTGCAATTATTGACTAAACAAAAACATTTCACTTGCCGAGCGAGTGGCTGACATTCTCTGTTAATGACAGCAGCAAAGCAGGGACCAAAGGACAGGGCCAGGGCACATGCTGGCCACGGGCAAGCC